GAATGTTTGGAAAAGAACACCGAACCAGGTCCAAGGGAAATTCCTTTTCAGCAGTCGAAGGCCTTGCCTAGCCAGCTTTTTGGCCAAGGTGATCTGTCCCATGTTGAAACAGACCTGAGATGGGAAAATAAGAATAGCAATGTAAATGTGGGAAGAGTACTGTGGACAAGGTTCTGGATATAACACACTAGCTCCTTCATTTTGGGATGTGTACTTGGGGTCACTGAGGTGCTAGGATGAGCTGAGTTGGAGCAAAGCCTAGCTACAGACACAAGCACCAGTAGGACCATGAACAAGTAAAGTACTGAGGGAATAGGATTAAGGAGAAAGCACCCTCCTTTTTCATCGCCCATACATTTGTCAGTGAGCAGTAGAGAAAGGCCATGATTTAGAAAGTGATGCTTCTAGGCTGAGATGGAATTATCATTTGGGCAGATATTCAGATGTTTCAGATGACACAGAAAGCATCTGAAATTTCACCACATCCTTTCTTCCTAAACAGGTTGCACCACCATAGTGATGTGGGGTAGGAGGTAAGGAACTACCTTGAGGTAATCGTATACCTTCACAACTAAAGCTAAACCCTCCAAGAAAGTGATCAAGTCTATGGTGATTCCAGAACAATCATGGGAAGACTGTACAATAACTTCTTACAGAGGAAAAGAAAAATTTAACTTTGCTCCAAAGACCTCTTGGTGCAAGCACAAATAATGCAATACTGTGGACAACTCTAATATTCCTTTTGTTCAAAGGCATATATACATTAATTTTACTCTCCAAACCAGATTATCTTAAGGTTTATATAAAAATTAGTTTTTATATTCTTAATTTTAAAAAATTTTAAAGCTCAGCTCTCTAACAAAACATCCCCACAGTTTTATAGAATCATTATTTCTAAACTGCTAAATAATTATCCCAATACAATATGTTCTGTTGGATTTAATAGTAATGAGGCTAAGAGAAGTTGCTGAGCTGTCCCGAGTTATTCCTACACAATAATAAATAAGTTTACTCCCACACGTCATTTGAAAACAAAGTATCTCATGTCATGCTTTCCCCAGAGTTTCTGTTTGTTACACAAATCTCATTTCCTGCAGAAATGTGTTATAAATGATATATAACTGTCTCTTAAAAAAACCAAGATAAAAGGAAGGAGAAGACTATATACATGTATGTATGCTGAACCCTCTGGTAGAACACACTGAGACACATAACACTGGGGAAGAGGCATAGTAGCTGAGTGACGGGATTGGGGACACTTTCAACTGTGTTTTTTTTATTTCTAGCTTTATTGAGATATATTTGACACATAACATTGTGTAAGTTTAGATGGGCAAGGTAATTTTTTTTATTGAGATGTGACTGGCATTTAACATTGTATTAGTTTTAATTGTACGACATAATGATTCTGACATATGTGTGTACTGCAGAATCACTACCATAATTTTAGTTAATGTCCGTCACCATACATAATTACACTTTTCTTGTGGTGAGAACTTTAAGAATTACTCTCTTGGCAACTTTCAAATATACAATATAGTATTATTAACTATAGTCACCATGCTGTACATTCCATCTCCAGGACTTATTTCTCTTATAACTAGAAGTTTGTATCTTCTGTCTACCTTCACCTATTTTTCCCACCTTGCCCCAATATAAATTAGCTTATATATACTCCGATGGACAAAGGACAAGACTAGACAATTCATAGAAAAATCAATGACCAATAAACGTATAAAAATAATGTATCTTATTAAGAAACACATACCAAAATACAATATAATTTTCATCTATGCATTAGCAAGTTTTAAGAAAACTAATAATATCTGATGTTGGTAAGGCTGTGAAGAAAAGGAAAAAACTTGAAATTATATATTTTTGGTGGACAATTTGGCAATATATTTACTAAATGTAAAATCATTCATATCTTCTGCGTTAGTATTTCTACCTGCGGAAATTTCTCTTACAGAAACACTCTTAGAAAGGAAGAAAGAGATATTTACAAGTATATTCACCGTGGCAATGCTTATTATAACCTGAGATGAGAGTAACCTAAATGTACATGAAGAAGGGAATAGTTAAGTAAACTCTGATATGTGCATACAATAGAGTAGTTGGCAGCTATAACTGTGATTAGATGTAGACCAATGTGCAAATATATTCAATTTATATAATAGTATATTTAATAGTATATTCAATACTATTAAAAGTCAGCTACAGAAGAAAATGAGCAATATAATTCTATTTTAAAAACAACAAAAACAATAACGATATGACTATGGGTATATAGCCAGTGGAATTTGAACCAAATCACTAACTATGCTGGGGGTGGCATGGGATTAGTAAGGGCTCTTTCACTTTTTATGTACTATACATTTTTATGTTTTGAATTTGTGTATCTTTTATCACATTACCACATTTATAACTGCACACACACAAAGAGGGATTTTTATAAGAAATAATAGGGTAACCCTCAAGGACAAATAACCCAAACTTCAAGGTCACCCTCTGCCCTCACCTCTGACTGAAGACGGCAGAAAGTGGCCTCCTCAAACTGACAGATCTTCACCTTGTGCTTTTTCAAAAATGAGAATGTGGAGGGTTGACCCAGGAGACTACTTGCCTTCCTCAAATAAAAGAAGGCCTCCAAACAAGATAAGAGATAGAGAAACTGGATTAGGATTCAGATGATGCTAGGGGTGCGATAAGGGTAAAGGCGGGAGTAAGGTTATGATGAGGGTAAAGATTTGCATTTGAATTAGGTTGGATTCCAAGTTAGAAGGGGCGAGCTGGACTGCCCACGCAGGGATCGGTGCAGGGCACAGGGCTCGGCGGGGCTAGAAGAGTCTGTGCTCTTTCACTACCACATTCTGTTTACGTTTTCTCCTGAAGTCCTTCCAGCTCCTTTCTCTCTCCTATTTTCTTCCACTTTTTATTCCAGGTTACTTGATAGTAAGAAATCCCAAATGAATTTCCCAAGTAAAAGAGCTCAGCCAAGGGCAGAGAGCAGAGCTTGCTCACCATGTAATTATCTGACAGGTCCAAGGAGGCAGCGGCAGCCTCCAGCAGGTAATAAAATGCACAGGTGGTTTCTCCAATGACCAAGCAGTGCTGGGTGAGAGGTGAGAGCACCAACTTCAGGATTTCCTCACAGTGACAGGGCTTCATGGTCAACATGTCTTTCTCAGGGCTGGTCTGAGCCAGCTTCTCGGTCACTTGATCCAGGAACTCTTCTTCTGTTCTTTGTGGAGAGAAGATGAAGAACTGAGAGTGGCCAGGAAGCAGCTGCTTTTGTAGGGCATTACCAGTTCTCCAAGCCACTTTTTCCAGGAAGCTTTCCTTTATAATTCATTAAATCTATGTCTATCCTTCTTCTCCATCTCTCTATAAGTTTTTGAAAGTCAGTGACCAGATCTATAATGGCAAAGCCCTACGATGAACTTTTAGAAACCTAAAGCCAATCTAAGTATTTCATAAACTAAAAGGAGGAGTGACCATACCTGAAGAGTAAACTAACAACGTGTCAAATAAAAACATAAAAGTGATACAAAGCAATAAGTAACAATCCATTTATCTATTAGTATATTTGAACTTTGTTATGGCACATTCGAATATTATTTTATCAACCATCACCATCTTATTATACAACAACCCTGTCATTCAGGCAGGCAAACATTATCTCCCTCTTACAGATGAAGAAATTGAGGCTTTGAGAGCTTAAGTGATATATATGGCCTCATAGCTATTAAGCAGAACTGAAACTAAAGTTCACCTCTATGACTGCTAGTTCAGTGCACTTTCCACAGGTTCCACAAATACAAAAGGGGTCAGGTCTCTCTGAGACAGAATGATCGAAAAAGTGGGCACTGAGGAGGGCTTTCTGATCAAAAATGGTGATCATTCCGATAAGTGAAAAGATGTGGAGGCCACTTAGTATTTTAAAAAGGGAGAAATGTTGAGTCAGCCACACAGATAAGTGTGGAGGTGATTTATGTCAAATACAAATAGATTTCTGTTTGAAAACTAGGATATCAAGTTGGATAAGAGAGATAGGAAACTACAGAATGGCTGGTGAACTCAAGGTAGGGACATTTAAAATTGATGGGATAGGCATTCGAAAGTCAGAAGGTACATAGTTTGGAAATACAAATTCGTTTTAATTTCAACTGGGGTCAAAAATAATTGAGAAGGCAAATTTCTAGCTGAAAAAAATCTATATATGCAATGCATTCAAGAGCTATTAAAGTTTTTCTTAACCACTAAGAAATAATTTTTCTACAAAGATTCAAAAATTGCTTTTTGAAATCTCTATTAACTTGAATTTTGGGCTGAGTGAAAGAGTCACTACTTTTGGGTGGTCCTGCAGGTGAGGTAAGTGCTCTCAGTTTAATGGTCATCTGTGTCTCACTTTCTGGCCCGCTCCATGCCCATTCTTGGCATCGCTATCTACCTGCAGTGTTCATTTGTGAAGGCCTCCTGACTTCTGGATGGTTTTGTCTGGAAATGAAAACTATCTGTAGGGAGAAAAAGATGATTATCTTTAATTACCCATGCTCGTATTAACTGAGGACATTTTAAATTCCTGACTACCTTTCCTCTGCAGCTTAGTTCAGGACCTAACTGCTTCCCCCATTATAAAAATGATAAATTTAGGTTTAATATTTGCTACACACAAAATTAGTATGGTAGATTACAAGTTCCTTAATGGAAACTATTTGTGATTCAAATAATAACTCCTTTCATTTTTAATCCTCCCAAACCTGTTCCTAATTTGCAGGAGGCAATCAATGTTCGCTAAATAAATGAATAAAGAATGTGTCCATTTGGTTTGATGGCTACTTCTAACAGTTGAAATCCCTGAATATGTCTGGATCAGGTTTGTGAACAGATCAGAGTGAACTACAGAATCTAAGACCTAGTGAAGAAAATCACAAGGGCACAAGATGCCATAGTCCACTAGGGTCTCAGTGGCCAGCAGAG